GGTCAGTTTATACTCGAATATATACGGTATCCATCCAGGTCACCTTTTAGCTAATTAACAGATTGGCTCATTAATGAGTACCTCCCATAAGTAATAAGTACCTTTTACAAATCATCTATATTAAGGAGTCAAAATTCCTTTAATTCCAAGATGAAATGGTAAGAGACCAAGGAAGCTAGCGTACAACCAGAATGGGATGACTGAAATGATGGCATGGAGGGGAAAATGGAACAAATGACACTTGGTAATTTGTGTAGAAATTGTTAGTTACACTGTTAAATAGGAACCTCCACCTTAAGCACAATTAAGAAAAAATAATTAAGAAGCTCTGAATGAAACACTATTTATTTTCAACTCAACTTACCAAGACAGGAGTACAGACCCTGACTTATCCAAGCTAATATGGCAAGGGTGATGAGGTCGCCAAAACTAGCAGCAATGGGTGTAGCAACGTTATCAGGATTTATCCCAGTCTTCTTCGAACCAACGATAACTCCAACCATTATTATTCCTGGAAGAAAAAATAGTCATTACTATTATGCTGTAATTTAAAGGAAATCTCACAGATGCGTAGATCTGCAGGCATCTAGGCAGCATATTATTTCCAGCCAGACTACTCAAATAAGCTGACTGAAGCAAACAAAAGGTTTCACACTAATACTTTAGTAAAATACCTGGCAACAAACTCCGAGGGGGGGATCACAGAAGATTTGAGAAGTTCAATGTTGCATTTATAAATGTGAAAAGTTACTATACAGCTACATTAAAACCAAAATTTTATATTCAGTAATATGTATGCATTAGATTCAATGTACTCACATATATCAAACCCAAAATGTGGATATAGGAGAGAAAGGATTGTGTAGTGTGCGTGTGTGTACAACTGGGAATATGATCAAGAAAAACAGATGTGTTTACATGGTGATAACCAGCAATGCTTGCTTCTTTTTTTAATTTAAAAGTGTTGAAGTATTAAGAGAAGGGAAGTAATTACAATTTGAACAATGGAGGCCAGAACCCAAGAAACAATCTTTCTAAATGATACCCCATAAACCCCAACTCTCTGTGAGCCCACAATTAAAAAACAGATTAAAAATTGAGTGTCCTTATACTGTTAAATCCTTACTTCCTTGAATTATAGGAGAAAAATGAGAGCAGTGATGGTCACATCCTATTGAATAGGTTTTCTTGTGCCAACTGTATAGATATTATTATGGCAGCAGCATATCAGTAAGAAGATGCAGTGCAGAGGAAGCTTAAAATGCACTCGCCATAAATCAGAATGAGAGCTCAAATGTGGCTATTTTTAGGCTGAAAATAAGGGTAATTTGTGCTTTTATTCCAGTATACTCATTTCATAAACAATAAAACAGGTGCTGGTAAGTAGGGTTGAATACTTGCCCGAGGTCACGAAGCTTTTAAGGGACTAATCTTATATTTTTTCAGTTATCCTATAAAGCCAAATGTTAAACAAGAAGTTTTGTCTTGCTTCAAACAATGCCACATATGTAGCACTCTGGAGGCTTTGTAAGTCACTGGACTTACCTTTCCTGTAATATGACTTAAATATGAAATTTTCCATATAAAAGAAAAAAAGAGCTGAAAACGCCAAGATTTTATTTTGCAATAGTCGATCAAGGTGTAGAATTTCTGTCCAAATTCAGGTCATTTGAAAGACCATGCCAACATCCATAGTGCAGTGGAAAGAGCTAGGAGTCAGAAACTTGGTTTTAATTTTGACTCTGCTACTATGACGCTGATGACAATGAACATGTCTCATGTGCCTAAGTGTCTAAGTGTGCTTCCTCACTTACAAAATGCAGATAACCATACCTAGTTTACATGTAAAAACGAAGTAACAAGAGTCAAGTGATCAT